GTATGGTGTTGCCGCGAAACTTGAATAGAAGGACGATTTCAGCCAATCAGCTTTCCCGATTTGTCAAATTATGCAAATTTTCTCATTATTTATTTATTTTCTTTCATTCTGTTTATCAGAAGCTAATGCATGTGTAATCGTGAACGTCCACGTGGACCATGAGGTTCTATTCACCGTTAGATGTTTTGGTTTCACTGGTGGTATCGATAGCAGAGGAACATATTTGAAGATTACGGAGATTTTATTTAAACCGAAAATCTTGAAGATATCATGACGTCATTAATTAATTAAAACGATGATCATTAACTTGCCTAATTAACGTGAAGTATTATTATTCACACGGACCATACGGTAATTAATTTCAGTTTAGTTCATTGGGTACTAATCTGACTCAGAAACAAAGCCCAAATATAAATCAATGACATATAGGCCCATATCCAAAACTGATGTTGAGAATCGAGTGGCGGTTCCATGGCCGGATTTTCCGACTAGAAAAATTAGCGAAAAAGTCAAGAAGAGTGAAAACTTCCCCTAGCTCCGATGAGAGAAACCAAGAAGAAACCTTTAGATTTTGTTAAGTAATAGAGCTCCATGGAAAAGTAATGTTTTTTTTTGGGTTTTAAAAGGAGTCTTTAGAGTATCATGACTCTCTAATATATAGTTCATTGATTTTGCTTGATTAATGAGCTGAAGAAGTCATGTAATATGTAGTAAAACATATGTAAACCAAAAGTAACGTTACATTAAAAGCCAAGAAGAGACAGAGGATTAGAAGACTTGATAAATCAACGGAACACGACGAGTTGACGAAAGACTTGCCCAAGTCAAGCAGTTTGACGATATCGTTCTACACATTTTTGCTTTTCCTTCACTCCACTATTGCCGCCATGACCAGAGAGATGCTCTTCTTGAGTTCAAACACGAGTTTCCGGTACATGAATCCGACCCAAGTATGGATGAATCCGACCCAAGTATGGGCGATGTATCTTTAAGTTTAAGATCATGGAACAAGAGCAGTGATTACTGTTCTTGGATTGGTGTTAAGTGTGATGCTAAATCTGGCAAGGTGGTTTCACTTTCCTTTATTTTCATTCATCTCAACAACTCTTTCAAACCAAATAGTGGTCTTTTCAAACTCCAATATCTTCAAAACCTAACCTTTTACAACTGTTATCTCTATGGGGAGATTCCTTCTTCATTAGGAAACTTTTCTCATCTCACACTTCTTGAGCTTACCCAAAATAATTTTGTCGGTCCACTTCCAGCTTCTATTGGAAACCTAACCCAACTAAGATACCTGAGACTTAGCCAAAACAGTTTCAGTGGCAAAATTCCGAATTCATTTGCCAATTTAACGAAACTGTCTGAAGTCAACCTCGATAACAATTACTTCGAATCCACGCTTCCACCTGACATGAGTAGATTCCACAGCTTGGAGTATTTTAGTGCGAGTGCAAACTCCTTTCTCGGGTCTTTCCCTAGGTCTTTTGTTCACGAATCCTTCGTTGAGATACGTTAATTTGGAGGGAAACCAATTCAAAGGACCTATAGAGTTGGGAAATTCATCGTCATTGTCTAGGCTTCAGTATCTAAACCTTGCTCACAACAAGTTCGATGGCTCAATTCCTGACTCTATATCTGAATTTACCAATCTCGTAGAGATAGATCTTAGTCACAACAATTTCGTTGACCTAATCCCCATATCTATATCAACCTTAGACAAACTCAGTTATATTGATCTTTCCTACAATAAGTTTGAAGGCCAAGTACCAGGTTACTTATGGGGACTGACGATGGTGATACTTTCTCACAACTCGTTTAACAGTTGTGAAAAACCATCCAAATTTGTCAATGAAACACAAATCCAAGCGTTGGGTCTTGCTTCCAATTCTTTCCGAGGACCATTCCCTTATTGGATCTGCAAGCTTAGATCGTTAAGCTTCCTAGATTTGTCCAACAATAGCTTCAGTGGCTCGATTCCTCAATCTTTAAGGAATTTCATTGTTACTCTCGAAGAGCTAATTCTGCATAACAACAATTTCAATGGAATTCTTCCGGATATATTTGTCAATGCTACAAGCTTACTATCGCTTGACGTTAGCCACAACCAGTTGGAAGGAAAGCTTCCAAGATCATTGATTAATAGCAAAGCTTTAAAATTTCTGAATGTGGAAAACAACAGAATCAACGAAAAGTTTCCGTCTTGGTTGGGATCTCTGCCATGGTTATACGTCCTCATCCTCAGGTCAAATAAATTTTATGGACCGTTGTATCATCCTCGTGTATCCGTTGGGTTTCAAAGTTTAAGAGTCATTGATATATCACGTAATGACTTCACTGGAACTTTGCCGCATTTCTATTTTTCTGACTGGCGTGAAATGGCGACACTAAACGAAGACGATGCGGGCGGTTTCATAGTTAATGATCCGTACATGGACAAAGGCTTGCATTCTGATACTATGAATAGTAACTCGATGGAAATGGTGCATAAAGGAGTAAATACGGAATTTGAGCGGATACGAAAAGACTTGAGAGCCATTGACTTTTCTGGAAACAGATTTTGTGGAAACATCCCTGATTCTATTGGCTTGTTGAAAGGATTGCGTCTTCTTAACTTGTCAGGTAACGCATTCACAAGCAATATTCCTCGATCATTGGCTAATTTGACAAATCTCGAGACGTTGGACCTATCTCGGAATCAGCTTTCAGGCCAAATTCCTCGAGATCTTGGCAGCCTCTCTTTTCTCTCAACCATGAACTTCTCCCACAACTCTCTCGAAGGTCCAATACCACGAGGCACACAGTTTCAAAGACAAAACTGTTCTTCATTCATGGACAACCCAAAACTCAACGGTCTCGAAGATATCTGTGGAGAAACTCATCATGTCCCGAATCCTACACCACAAGAATCTAAGGATTTAATGTCGGAGCCAGAAGAAGTCATTAACTGGATTGCAGCAGCAATAGCATATGGACCTGGTGTGTTTTGCGGGTTGGTGATTGGGCATATCTTTGGTTCGCACAAACATGAGTGGTTCATGGAAAAAGTTTGGTCGTAACCAGCCAAGAGCAGCAATCAGAAGTACTCGTTAAGCCCATCTCTCACGGTTACGTTCTCTAAGTGTTTTGTGAGACATATAATGTATTTGTGATAATGACCCTTTTGTCATATGTGTTCTCCAAAAACTCGTCTGTTTTTGTAATTTTCTATTTCATGGTTTTGTAATAAACGTCTTTGCCTCTGGTGGTATTTGAAATTATATATTTTGGCCTGAAATCACAATAGTAACGTTGGTATTACAGACTCCATAGTTAATTGATTAAGAAAGAACAATAATTGTTTTGTAATTTTCACTAGTTATGCACATTTAAAAGTACCAGAAAAGAAAAAGAAAAAAAGCCAAATTCAGGAATCAATTACTCATTGTGATAAAACACGAAAATCATTCACAAAAGGAACAAAAGTCAGGAACTGTAATCCAAATTTCGGAAAAAATGTGTTTAAATTTCGGGGAAGCAC